ACATAGTACAAGCTGGCCTTAAATTTACAGCAATGCCCTCTGCTCTTGCCTACTAAATTCCAGGATTATGGGTGAATTCTACCACTTCTGGTTTTTTCTTTTAAATGTTGAAGAATTTTCTTAGGGGGCTGGAGATATAACTAAGTTAGCAGAGTGCTTGCCTAGCATCCACAATGTCCTGGGTTCCATCTTTAGTACGTACATAAACTAGTCTTAAAATCCCAGCACTGGGGAGATGGAGGCAGAATGATCAGAGGTCAGGGTCATCCTTGACTACATGGGTAGGTAGTTCAAGGCCAGCCTGGATTTGTGAAACTCTGTTTATTAAAGTAAGATTCTATTTTATATGTATTAGTGCTTGCCTGCCTGCATTCCTGTGTACCACATGCATGCCTGCTGATCTTGGAGCTCTGAAGCTGTCAGGTCCCATGGACCTGGTGCTCAGTGAAAGATGAGAGGCCATGTGGTTGCTGGGGTCACACCTGGGCCCTCTGACGTATGGCAAGCACGCCTAACCACTGAGCCATTTCTCCAGCACAAGAAGCCATCTCAGAATAAGAACAAAACAATGACAGTTTTCCTTGTAGATGAAATTGTACCTTTATAAGGTGTATTTCCTAGATTTGGAGATGTGTAGTCAGGACCACTGATTGAGCTAAACTCAGGGTCTCAACGTTCCTGCCCTAAATACCATTCGTTTGTTGGTCAGACATTTCTGTTTGCGGTGTCCTTATGAAGCAGTCATCATCTCTGTGGGCAGTTTTGATTTTATTGGTTGTACTGAAGTTTCTGATACCTGGTCACTCTGAAACAAGGTATGGGTGGAGGGTCTTGGAAATTTCCCTTTCTCATGCTCCCTCGCTTCTCTTGTCATTTCTCCTGCTTCAGCATAACATTTGACCTTTTGTGTCTGTCTTAAACTTAAGTGTCATGTTTTAGGTCTGTATAAGGCCTGTCAAAACTTACTCTTTTTTTGCTTTGTTTTTCTGAGAATATATAACTATATGATCAGAGACTGGTCTTAAACCTACAATCTCTTCAGCTTCCAAATGCTGTAATTACAAGCATGTGCCAGCATACCTGGACAATTTTCTTTTTGTCTTTTGTTCTTTCATACAGTATCTCATATATGCTCCAAGTATACTGTCTAGCTAAGGATGATCGACCCTCTGCTCCCACCTTCCATGTGCCAGGGTTATAGCCACCACACTCAATTTATCATCTAGTTGGTAGGATGTATCCAAACTTATATTTACAGCTGAAAAGTTGTGTGTATAGACCATTTTTAAAATGTTAATGGACACTTGGCTATCTATCCAGAAGTGGGTTATTGGATCACATGGTAATTCTGTGTTTAACTTGACAAAACAAAACAAAACCCTGCCGACTTGTTTGTACTGCAGTTTGTTCTTTTTACATCCCATCCCCAGTTTGTAAGCAGAAGGACCCCGATTCGTCCACACTGGCTTGTGCTTACAGTCATGGGATAATGAGGTAGCTCTCTTCGGTTTTGGCTTTTGAGACAGAGTCTTCCCTCTATGTAGCCCAAGCTGGCCTTGAACTCATAGCAGTTCTCTGGCTTCAGCCTCCCCAGTGCTAGGATTGTGCTGCCGTGCCCATGGCAGAGTGTCTCCTGGGTCTTGTGACACAGCTCCGTAGTCCCAGCTATTTGGAAGGCTGAGACGGGAATACTAGCTTGGAGAGCTTATTGAGTCTGTCCAGGGTGTGTGAGGATATCGATCAGTCATATAGTGCTTGCCTAGCACACACAAGACCCAAAATTCAACTCATAGTTCTACAAAACAAGTAAGGAAATAAAATAGTCTATTTCTCGGAAACTCTGAATGTTGGGTCGTTAATCTGGCATAGGCCTAATATTTGACCTTTCTTCTGGTTTTACTCAAATATCTCATGTCCTAATAGTTGTGTAGATCTCTGAGACAGGATATAGGTAGAAATCAAATTTGAATCTCTTAGAGTCTTCTGCTTGGTGACTGCTCAAGAAATAAAGTAATTCTGCTAACAGTTGTAGAACAGCTCTCATGTTGTAAATACCCAGTAGAAGTTTCTAACAGATTTTGCCTGATTGAAATGAGTTCTTTTTGTAACTCGGTGAGGTAATCAGCTGGTGAATAACATTGAAATCATGAATCTGATTCCTGCCACTCCTCTGTTTAACCCCTTGAGTTCTTTTCCAGTGTACTAAAGGCAGGGCTCCAGGTTATCAGTGGTGCAAGGATTTGCCTCCTTCTGGGACTTTTTTTTTTTTTTTGACACTTTTGTTGTTGTATTGCAATATGGAGGATTGAACCAAGGGCCTTGCACATGCTAGATTTGTAGTTGAGAATGGCTTTGAACTTCTCTTCTTCCTGACTCCACCTCCTGAGTGCTGGATTTGTGAAACTCTGTTTATTAAAGTAAGATTCTATTTTATATGTATTAGTGCTTGCCTGCCTGCATTCCTGTGTACCATCTCTGAGTTTGAGGCTAGACTGGTTTACAGAGTGAGTTCCAGGACAACCAGGGCTACAGAGAAACTCTGTCTTGAAAAACATACATACAAACATACATACATTATTTTTTATAATACATACACACAGTATTCAAGTGCTTATATATTCAGCTCTGTATGTGTGTGTAAGTATGCATTCCTGTTTATGCATGTGTGTGTTTATGTAAGTGTGTGGGTGTCTACATAACTAAAAATTTGTGTTAACTTGCACATAGCTGCCATGTAGATGTTGAGAATTGACCCTGGGTCCCCTAGAAGAGTAGTAAGTGCTCTTAACTGCTGAACCATCTCTGTAGGCCCACCGCCAATTAGAAAAAAAGTTTCTTAAATGTGTATGGCTGTTTTGCTTTATACGGTGTGCATGCATTGACGGTGGAGATCAGAAGGTCACATCAGATCCCCTGAAACTGGAGCTACAGCCCTAACTGGAAGGGCAGTCAGTGCTCTTCACTTTAGAGTCATCTCTTTAGACCCTGCCATCAGATATTTTGAGACAGGGTCTCTCTCTGTACTGGGCCAACTAATTGGCTAGGCTGTCTGGCCAAGGGAGCCTATGTTTCTATCTCTTGGCCTTGGGATCATAGGCACTGTAGCCATCCTGGCTTTATGTGGGTGCTGGAGAGCCCAACTCAGGGCCTCATGCTTTAGCAGCAACATCACCCCAACCTCCTGGATTTCTTTATTATAAAAGTTACACAATGTAGGAAAATTCATAGAAAAGCCAGACAAGGTGTATAATTTCAACCAAGCAGGAGGAGTCCTGTGAGTCTGAGGCTAACCTGTGTTAAAGATTCCGGTAAACAGAAAAAGGAGACCCCAGTTGTTACTTACTTCTTTGTGGGCTTTTGTGTGTACTCTGCTTTTTTTCCTGTTGTGATCACATTACATGGGTAGACGGCTAAGTACCAGTCTTTAGTCACAAAACTGGGCATTTTTTACTTATTTTGAAACAGGCTTACTTTGTAATCCTTGCTGGCCCAGAACCTTCTCTGTAGACCAGGTTGGCCTTGAATTCACAGAGATCCACCTGCCTCTGCCTCCAGAGGGATTTAAGGTGCGAGCCACCACCACCTCAGACCTACAAAGCCAGGCTTTATAAAAACACACATTTGTTTAAAGGTGGTGTGAAACTAACTGCAAACTGCTCTATATTATTTCCACTTTGAAAAGTCTAGTAGGTGAAAGGTCCAGGGTTTATCCTCAGCTGACCTAGCCCAGTGTGAAAAACTCAGGAGGGGGTAGGTAAAAGCTGTAGTGGAACCCTTAGTAAAAGGACTTGGCAGCTGACTGCAAGTTTAGTATGAGTCAGTGGTGTGTGTGTGCCAAGAACTTCTTTTTTTCTCCCTTTTCTTCTTTCCTCCTTGCTTTCCTACCCCCTCCCCCCCCACACACACTTTCCTTTCTTCCTCTTCTTTTTCCTCTTATTATGTTGCTCAGGTTAGAATCCAGTTTTGAGCTCAGGCAAGCCTTGTGCCTGATCCCAGCATCTCCAGTAGCTAGGACTTCAGCCAAGCCACCATACTCAGTATGCACCAAGAACTTTATTGCACAAACCCAAGGCTCTGTTACAAAGCAGAGGCCATAGTCCTGCTTGATTATGATGGTATTACAAAAGCTCGACTTAGTCTTGGATAAAAGGGTTTAAAGGAATCACAATCAAGTCAGCCAGTGCCTGAGGACAAAGACAAAGAACCCTGGCTTTAGGATAGAGGAAAAATAAAAACAATGGAAGGGACCACGTATCTCAACTCAAAGAAGACTTTGGGCAAGTCTGGGGTCCAAGAGCCCTTTGATCAGTTTGTTCTCAAAGGCTTCCTGGGCTAGAATATGGTCTTTGAGATGGAACACCAGAGCTGCCCGGACTAAGGAATGCAATGTTCTGGACATAGTGGACATTCTGTCTTTGATGGCTCTTGTGGTGAAGTGAGGTAATGGGTGTTTATACAACTATTGCTCTTTATTGTTTGCCATGAGCCAGAACTAAGCCTGGAGTCGAATATTATTTCATTCTATTAATATAGTCTTTGATGAGTTAATGGTGTGTAGTCAAATTTCTTAGTCAAGTTCACTCAGTTGGTAAGTGGGGAAGCTAGGATTTGAACTCATTACGATAAACCTCAAAGCTGGTCCTTTTGGTTACCACGGAGTTGAGTGCAAGGCTTTCTGGAGAGGGTTTTGCCAGGGAGGCCCTCAGTTTCATTTATCTACAAACAAGACTGGGCAACTGGACCTAGTAAGGGACACTCCGCCTTAAGGAAAGCATCCCGCAGAGTAGGCGGGGTCATCTTAGGTGGGGGCGGGGTAGCCAGCCCTCTGCTGAAGGGCGCAGGCAAAACGCCAAGCGGTGGTTGTCCGAAGGCAATTCTCCGGCTCTTTCGGTGCATCACCCCCAGAGCTCAGGAGCACCGGGGCTTCTGTGCTTGGAAGTTCCTCGAGCCCTGTGAGGGGCTGAAGCAGGTCCACGCTCCAGAGAGCATCTCCGCGGCCAGCTTCTGCGGCAGAGCCCGAGGACGGAACAGAGCGCCGGTCCCTGGCCGGGCGCGAGCTGGGGGCGGCGCCGGGGCGGCGGGGGCGGGGAGGGCGCGCGCCGAGGCGGCTGCGGCAGTTGCGCGCTAGGATTGCTGCGGTGCGGCGGGGCCGGTGAGTTCGGCGACACCCGCGGCGGGCGGGAGGGGGATTGGAGCGGGCGGGCGGGCGGGCTGGGCGGCATGCGCGGCTGAGCGCGCGACCCCGCGGCCCCTGCCGTCCGCCCGGGGCGTCCCTGCCCTCGGGGCCCCTACCCGGGCCCGGCCGCGCGCCCGCGGCCTCAGCGCCCCGGGGTGGCGCACGCCCCCGCCCCGAGCGCCCCGCGGCGCCGCAGCCCCTTCCCCGCGCGGCGGCGACGCCCCCGGCCCACGTCACGCTCGCGCCATTGTTTCCCCAGCGTCGGCCCCTGGGACCCCGCCTTTCTCGCGGAGCGGTCGGCGCCGCGCTCGGTCCCCGTCGTCTGGCTCGGCGGGCAGCGTCGCCTCGGTTCTCGTGGGGCGGGCGCGGGCCTCTTCCCGGGGGCTGCGAGCCTGGCAGGGTTTGGAGTCGCCCGCGGAATGGCCTTCGAGCCAGTTTTGTGGTGTGCGGCACTTCCTGGAAAGCTCACAGCGATTGCAAGTCCCCAAAGACGTTTGGGAACGGCCGTCCCTTGCCTTTTTCCTGGGGCCCCAAGCCCTGCAGCAGGGCCATGTGCCGTCGCGGGGCCTGTGACAGGAATAACGTTTTTGGGCGGTTGGCTTTGCCCGGCCGCGGCTTTTTAAAGCAGTAGGCGAAGGCTGGTGTCTGAGCTGTTTCACAGCCCGGGAGGTTGAGGGCTGTGCTAATAGAGCGCTCTGAAATGACTAGTCATTAAACACGGTTGCCTGTGACCCGCTGCGGCTCTGCCTCTACGCGCCCGTCCGCACAGTACTCATGACCGTAGATTATTAATTCTTCTTAAGGGACGCAAATTCCTCCAGCCTGCACGTGAAGGGGAGGATGTTAAAACTGCCATTTATCGTAGACAGGAAGCTTCAGGTCTTTCCTGTAGTCACCTTAGCATTTTCCAATTATCCAAATGAAGACATCTGGACTTAGAGGTTCAGATCAAAAAGCCAGCTAGTTAGAAATTGAAATAAAAGCTTTGAGGGCATTTAACAGTGTCAAAATAATTATGCTGGGCTGTTGATCCAGGCTACCATACATACTTTCTAAGAACATTCCCATTACAGCATGAACCTGTTCTGTGGGCCTTAGACAGGTGTATACCCTAGTGGCCTCGAACTTGGGATCTTTCTTCAGCTTACCTAAGTGCAGGTGTTAACAGACTTGTATTATTATTCTCAACCTAGAATTTACAACCAGCTAATCTGTAAAATAAGATGATGTCTTTCAAGGTTCTGTTCTATGAAAATGTACAGTCAGCCAGAAGATTATAACTTCAAGAAGGTTAATATGGATACTTAGAGTGCCTGCTGGCCTTAGTAGATGCCATCTTCCTGAAGGAAGCCAGAATATGGGGGACTGTCAGAGGAGGAGTGTCCTTTTATGTGACAAGACTTTGTTGTATGAAGAAAGTAGTGCACAAAATATGGTATTTAGAAAAGTTATGTTTATGATATTGCTGTTTATTTGGAATCTGCTATGCATCCCAGGTTGTCCTAAAACTCCTTGCTTCGGCCTTCACAGTACTGGGGCCACACACTACTTGGCCAGTGTCTAAACCTTAGGCTCTCATTTTGGTGTGGTGGTATACTGGAGAGGTGGACCTCTGTGTTCAAGGCCAGCCTGGTCTGCAAAGCAAGTTCAAGACAGCCAGGACTACTAGAGACCCTGTCTCAAAAAACAACATTGACAACAACAAGAAAACCAAAAATGAGTTTTAAAAAAGTGTATAAGATCTCAGCCAGGTGGCGGTGGTGTATGCAATTGATCCCAGCACTCAGAAGGTAGAGGCAGAAGCAGGCGGATCTCTGAGTTTGAGGCCATCCTGGTCTACAGAAAGAGCTCTAGGATGGGCTCCAAAGCTACACAGAGAAACCCTATCTCAAAAAACAACAACAACAAAACTCTCTGCTGGGAACTGAACTCCCAGCTAAGCGTAGGTTAGGCAAAAGCAGTCTGCTATTGAACTACATCCCAGCCCTTTTTATTTTAATGTGAGATAGAGCCTCATTAAGCTGCTCATTTTGTGCCCCTCTTCCTCTGGGCCAGGACCCACCCTTGCACCTTGAATTGGCTATGTATTTTAGGCTGGCTTCCAATTTGGGATCCTTCTACCTCAGCTCCAAAGTATGGGGATTATAGGCATGAGCCACCATGCTTGCCTGGGCTTGAAAAAAAGGGGTTGTGTGTTACTACTTCACTGTTTCCAAAGGCTTAACTCAGTGAAAGCAAAACAGAAAACAACCTGCCTAAATCTTATCATGCTATTTATGTCTAACGGTTTTTGTTTTTAGCTTTTTGAGATAAGGTCTCACTTTGTAGCCCGGGCTGGCGTCAGACTAACATAAGCTCCTCAAGTGCTTGGATTATAAAGTGGGCCACCATGGGTGATCTCAAATTTATCTAGTGATGATTGCTGTGTACATACTGCTACTGGGCTGTCCACATTTCTAGAGCCCTCATCTAATTTTCATTTGTGGATGTTTTGTAACAGGCCTTTATGCGCTGTAGTAGGCAGTGCCTGGCACACATGCTTCTAGTAAATTTTTGTTGATGTGAAGCTTTTAGCTTTTATGACAACGTCTACTAACATGAAATGTTAACTATCACAAGGCATATGTTGAGTGACATTTGAGTAGTAAAACTACTTTTAGCCAGGACACAGGCAGCATTACATACATTTCAAGGGCAGTAGATAAAGCCAGAATGTTCTGGTAAGCCCTTTACAGGATATAATGCCACTTGGAGTCTATGCAGATAGATCAGAATGAATAAAGAGAACCATTTATTTATTGGTTTTGGTTGAGTTTTTTAGGTTCAAACCCAAATTGTCATGGAGTACTAAAATCTTACCATTTGACCCACTAAGCCTTTTTATATCAGATTTATCCATATTTTATGTGTGAGTGTTTTGCCTGTGTGTATATATATGTGCACCATCTGTGTTCCTGGTGCCTGTCACTGTCAAGAGGGCATTGGATCTGTAGCTGGAGTTGCATATGGGTTGTGAACCAAATGTGGGAGCTGGGAATTTAACTCAGGTTCTCCCAAAGAGCAAAAAATGTGCTTAGTGACTGAGCTCTCTCTCCAGCCCCAGTAAGTCTTAAATTGTTTATTTTTTGAGGGGTGTACAGGAAGGGGGTTTGAAATGGGAGTCTCACTATCTTAAGCAGGACTGCAACTTGGTAGTTGAGGCTGGCCTTCCACTTTCTAGTCTCTCGCTTTAGCCTCTGCAGGACTGAGATTACAGGCGAGGGCCAACATGGCCTGTTTTATTTAACTTTATTGATTGAAATTTGATTGCATCCTATAGTGATTGTTGCCAAAGTTTTTCAGAAAATAACTAGCAACAAAACAACAGAAATGTAACTATTAACAGAAAGCCTTCTAGTAGCATGGTAGCAAATATACTCTCCCTTTTTATGCTCAATACAGAATCAGAAAGAGGAGTTTGATTTGGAGACTGATGAAGTGTAGTGAGATAGTCCTTCTGTGGCACTGACCACGCCCATTGGGGGTGGAGCCAGGGGCGGAGTGTTCTGCCATTGGTGTGTCTTTGCTGGCTGGGAACCACTACCAGGAAGTCACATGAGCAAGCCTGTGTGACAGGATCTACTAGGGAAATCTAGCACCCGAAACTTAATGTCTTTTACAAAAAGTGAGGTCAGCAATGGTGAGAGCAGAAGATTGGAGCGTAAGTCATTGACTACAAACGGAGTTCAGGCTAACTTAGGGTTCCCGAGGCCCAGTCTCTGAAAGCAAACAAGCATTTAAATCTTAGTGTGATTTCATTTGAAATGACCAGTGGAATGTACTTTTATTTTTTGAGGTGTAATTATTTAATTAGTTTACTTTTTTGTGGTTGAGAATTTCATATGTGGATGCTGTTTGTAATCTCCCTACTTTACCCCCTCCGCTCCTCCAGTGCACCTGCTTTCTCAAATTTGTAGTCCCTTTCTTTATTACCGCTGCGTATGCGTATGTTTGTATATACACATTTATAAATATAACCTGATGAGTGCATTCGGTGTTGCTCATGTCTGTATGTGCTTAGATGTGACTACTTGGAATTGAATAAAGCAGTCAGGAAGCTCATCCCTAGAGAAGACAAATTCTGACTTCATATTGGAGTGAGGCCTTATGAGGGTTTGCCCATGGTGTTGGCGTGTCAATTGGTAGTGGTGTTTTTCAGGCCTTGTTTAGGTAGCTTATTGTTGAATATTAATGGGTGCAGCTTTCCTGTCTCACAGAAAACATCATGATCCTTTGGTTCTTAGAATTCTCTTCCAAAATGTTGCCTGAGCCTTAGGTTTAGGATTGTGTTGTAGACCCATTAAGTGGGCTGAGCACCCATACAGTCTGTTGTTCTCTGCATTTTGACCAGTTTTTGTGCCCTTCTGTAATGGTCTCCGTTTGCCTTAAAAAAAAAAAAAAAAAAAGCTTCCTTGAGGGGTGAAACTGGGAATGTGGACAAGTGTTTAGAATGCAGTTAGAAGTTAAACTGTTTAGGAAAGCAGCAGCAGCAGGTTCTCCTCTAGGTTCCCAGTCTTCACCAGTCACAGCTAGTGAGCTATTAGTGAGCTGTGCTTATAGTCCCAAGCACGAATTCCTTCCTATTGAGTGTGCCCTAAGTCCAGTTAGATAGCTGTCGTTTCTCCCAGGATGTAAGTACCACTAGTGCATCTTTAGGGATATCTTGCCATTTCGGTCATTGTAGTGGTTCATAGGCATTACAGCTTGTTAGGACTGTTGGTTGCTTTTCTCTCTTGACAGCTTGCTTACTATTTCAGTTACTGTAAGAGCTAGTCCTTGGGGAAGAGACTAATAGATCAGTTCCATCTCAATTCCTCCAAGTCCTCTATCTGAAGTGTGTGGTGTAAACATATATCCACAAGAATGCACATGCAGGAACATGCCTCTGTGTACACATAGAACAGGACAACTTGTAGGTAGGTATTGGTTCTCTCCCT